TACTCTGGATGGCATTACCTTGGCCTCCAGTAACACTGTGAGGAACCTTGGAGTCATTTTTGACCAGGATAAACCAGGGGGACTCCCATGATGCACTGGGTGTTTCTTCTTCACTCCCTATGTGTTCACAGACCTCTCTGCACTGAATCATATCTGTTATTAACCTCTGTCTCTCTTCCACAGCATGTCTTCATCCTGGCTTCTCTAGCCTCAGTCAGTCACAGCAGATGGCCCCGCCCCTCCCTGAGCCTGGTCCTGCTGGAGGTTTCTCCCTGTTAAAAGGGAGTTTTTCCTTCCCACTGTCGCCAAAGTGCTGCTCATAGGCAGTCATGTCTGTGTGCAGTAGGCAGGAATGGTGGAGCCAAAGAGCAGACTCCAGGAGGTGAAAAGTGGACTCAGAGCAGCTTAACACCAAAATAACTAACCTGAAAAGACAAATAAACTATGCAGGAGATTGGAGGAGATTACAACACAGACCAAGGAAAACACAGGGCTTAAATACACAGAGGAGAGACAGGAGGGAAACACAGCTGGGACAAATCAGACCTAACGAGACAAGGCAAGCAAAGACACACTGCACACAGGACAGGAACTATCAAAATAAAACAGGAAACATAACACAGCAACATGAACCTGACACTGAGACAGACACATGAAAAAGACATAACACTGAACACAGAGAAGGCATATAAACAAAACCTAAGACTGGAAGTCAGGAGATACTAAAGGGAGCAAGAGATACAGAAACTAAATAATAGAAAAGTCTCAGAATTAAACAAAATCAAACCCACTGGGTCACTCGACCCAGATACCCTCACAACAGGGGGTCTTATGATTGTTGGGTTTTTAGTTGTTGTATTATTGCAGGGTCTACCTCACAATATAAGCGCGTTCAGGCGACTGTTGTTGTGATTTGGTGCTGTATCAATAAAACTGAAGAACGTGTAAAGTGCATTTGCAGTTATGAGCAGCATGTATGCTACGTGTGAACAACACGACCAGTAATGTTTTACATTCAATTTATTTCAACATTTCACGGTTTTACTCTTTGGTGCCATTGAGGATGCTGTGTTGTTCTTTGTGATTTTTTATGTTTAAGTTGTTTCTTTGCTGTGTTTTAGTTTGTTTTAGGTCTGCTAAAACTGTACGTTTTCAAAACGTATTATCAAAATGCCTGGAATTGCAAATTAGGAGCTCCATCTCTCTGGCTCAGCCACACCCAACAGTAATCATTTTTATTGTGTGTGGTAAAACAATGTCAAAAAGTTGGGGGGAAGCATTTAGGTCGGACATGTGGCTCACGTTTCAGACATCCCCCATGTGTAGACGTCACTTCTCACATCACCATGGCAACCACCCTAGGGTGGTGTCTGCCCTTTAGAGGTAGCGAGAGTAAGACAGAGGAGAGAGACAACTTTCCCTAACACTAAGATTTTTAGAGATGTTTTTTGTAGAGAGCTTCAGATCCAGTACATTATCATGATAATGTCTATTGGCAGAGCCCCCCCCCCCCCCCCCCCCCCAAATTCCTCAGGGTAAAACATAAAGATAGAAATAAAAATACATTTTAACAAGAGCGAACTACCTTTGGCTGCATCGACTGCAGGGGCCTGGCTAGCTGCGGGCTTTTCAAGGGTGCGAAGCCGAGTCTCCTGGCCTCCAGAGCTGCAAATGGACTACATTATTAATTCAATTCAATTTTATTCATACAGCGCCAAATCACAACAACAGTCGCCTCAAGGCGCTTTATATTGTACAGTAGATCGTACAGTAATAGATTCAGAGAAAAACCCAACAATCATATGACCCCCTATGAGCAAGCACTTTGGCGACAGTGGGAAGGAAAAACTCCCTTTTAACAGGAAGAAACCTCCAGCAGAACCAGGCTCAGGGAGGGGCGGGGCCATCTGCTGTGATTGGTTGGGGTGAGATAAGGAAGACAGGATAAAGACATGCTGTGGAAGAGAGACAGAGATTAATAACAGATATGATTCAATTCTATGATCTAATCTATTATTATTCTATAATCTGATTTATTAATCTATTATTACAAGTATCATTACTGCTAAAGGAGGCTGAGGAGTAGCTAAACATCTGACACGATGAGCAGGAAAGTGCAGGAGGGACAGGTGAAGTAGCCGTGGTGCTATCGAGTCGGCTACGAGCTAAGCTAAGCTAGCGAAACAGTAAAGACAGTGAGTGAATAAAGTGAATAGAATCAACAGAAGTAGGGCTTTGAATGATGCACGTCAAGATCACGCTATAAATAAGATGTTATCTAGAATTTTTATTTTTTTAATTAAACTGACTACACAGATAAGGTTCATAAAACCACCACTGAGTGTTGGAACAGGAAGTGCTGACCATGCAGACACACGCAGCCCGGGCTCAGGTAGGAGACCGGCCTGCTCGCCGCCCTGCTTGTCTGTGTTGAACATGCCCTACAGGGTGCATGCGTTGGTGGACGTGAGCGTATGAGGTGTGAATAATGAGTATGATTGCATGAAACCTGGAGTGCTATTACAAATTAGGGGACAGTTGCAACATAAGCACTTGACAGCTTGTCAACAGTGCCCCCCCCCTCCCAAATGTATAAGGTGCATGTAAAATTGAGCCCCAGCCACCAACCTCTGGGTAACGCACCTGTCCCCCAGGCTCCTGTATGTGGTGGTCTGTAAATACTACTTTATAATTAAAAAGGAGGGACGGGTGGCTGCACAGCCAGCAAAGCCAAAGGCCTCCAACTGTGGCCTATGTGGCCCCCACCCAAGACCCTACGTGTCAGAGGGAGCGGGCGGGGGTTGGCAGTCTGGCAGCACTGATGCCAGCTATGTTGCAACCTTGGGATTACTCATTAGCTGAATACCAGTGACAAATAAAGATTGTGGGGCACAGTGCAAGTGGAGTTTTCCAGCTGCACACAGAATATTATAAAGTGGAGTCTGAGCTCAAAAAGACATTTTAAGGACACGTTTGTGTCCCTGCAGTACGTAAATCCAGCCACCAAAAGGGTGTGTCCCAGTTCAGGTACAGCTAGACCAGTAGATGTTGTTAGTGTGCAGGCTGCGATCAGCTGACCTGCTGCTCTCTGTGCATGCACACACCTGGATTCATCCAGATGTGAGCGGATGTCTCCTGAGCTGTCCTGGCTGATTCCATCCTCTACAAGAGGAAAGAAGAACATCAGCTATCGACCGGCAGGTCAAATATCCGTGTGTCCCTGTGTTGGTCACAGTGTCCTGATATGTGTGGGCAGGTTGTCTCTTAAAGGTCTAACAGGGACAAAGTCTGTTCATCAGCTGTGGTGCATTTATCTAAAGCTGCAGCGCTACTGCACAGGGAGGAACCCACTGAACTAAAGCTGAACGTGTGTTACTCGTACAGCTGCTCTTCTGCATTTCTTCATATGTTCTTCATATAGTTTCTATATTGTGTATTTTGTTGTACAGTTATTTTATTTTTAACTTTAATTTTTATATTTTATTTTATTCTTTCCTCGTTAAATTCACCCTTTATTTTAATTGTCATATTTATTTTCTATCCTATTCTTAGTCTCTTATTTTAGGTCACGAGCAGCTGTCTAAGCGTTTCACTGCATATCGTACTGTGTGTGACTGTGTGTGACTGTGTGTGACTGTGTGTAACTGTGTGTGACTGTGTGTGACTGTGTGTAACTGTGTGTGACTGTGTGTGACTGTGTGTAACTGTGTGTGACTGTGCTTAGTGAGCCATGACACAAACCCGTTCAGCTTCCACTCTACTGAACCCGTGAAGAACAGAACTTACATGTGAAGACGAGCAGAGGCTCGAGGATGAAGGCCGGCTTGGTTTTTGGTCTCATGGTGTCGGCTCTCAGATTCCTTCTTCTCTTTGTGGTGCTGTGGACGGACGCTTTAAAAACCTCACGTGGAGCTGCAGGTCCATCAGGGTCTTCAGAGTCCGAGTCCATCAGGGTCTTCAGGGGGGGTTTCCAAAGTTAGCTCACACTCTTCATCACACAGACACATGTGGTTCAGTAAAAGGTGCTGCTCCTACGACTGGTGCGTGTCACGTGCTTTACATGGTGGAAATGTGAGTGCTGGGTGCATCCTGGACAGGTCATAGAGACGAACAATTATTTGCACTCACATTAACACCTTTGGGTAAAAGTCAGCTGTTGCTCTAATAACTGCACGCCTTTAACTGAGGAGGAACCAGAGAGAAGCCCTTGCAAACTTGGCCAGATTGTGGATTTGAACCCTTCTTCTCTGAGGGAGCAGTGCTGACCACCACCACGCCACTGAGCTGCCAAACCTAACACGAGCAGGAAAGCTATGCTTGATGCAGAATTTTCTTCATGTTCAGGTTAAACCACAACAGCAGCCGCAGCACACGTGGTGTGTGTGGTTGTCTGCCTCTTATAACCACAGTGATTGTCCT